TACTGAATTTTGCCCGAAATGTGCAGATTGTGGCCAGCTCTGGTTTAAACCAACGATGGTGTAAGTCGAATCGGACATATGATAAATTCATAGAACAAAACGAGACCTGGTTACGTACACCATTTTATTTCCTAAAAGAATCTTTAAATGTAGTTTTGACTGTTTGCGATCCGTCCAAAGCGCCGCTCTTTGTGTCAACGAAATCAAGGATTCTCGATGCCACGAGATATCCTGCGTGACTCGCGCGTGAGCACGCCGTGCGTGTTTTGTTACCGGACACCGCGTAGTTGTTGTCACGTTTTGTCAGCATGTGACTGCCAAATATCGCGACGTTTTCGACAATAGCGGTTAACATCTCATCTCCGAGCGACACAAAAACTAAAAATAAATGTAAGATCGAAGCGACGAACGTTTTCGGTTCCTCGCTTCGATCAGATTTTCTCTTAGCATGACACCGCTCGCAAGTGCTAGGTCAGTTTGTTCCGCTCCGTTTTTTTTCGAATCAGCTGCTCGACCGCTCTGGTCGAAACTCATCGTCCGAAATACGGTTGTGGCCTCAACGCATTGCGCTTCGCAAGGACGTGCTACGTACGAGCTTATTATCAGCACATTGTCAAAATTTATTTTGTATTTTTTTTATAATAAAATTGGGATCGCGTATTAGAGTGGTGCTCGCGCTCTAACTTGTGAGCACCGGCCTCCCAGCGCCTCGACGAACATCGACGCTCAAAAGGAAGGAAAAGGAGGAACGATCCCACGAAAAGAAAAGAAAGTAGTGTCTTCCTTTCAATCTGAACTCCGCGCTCATTGCTGAGCGGTCCTGGCCTTTTGTTCACTTTGCCAAAAGAGCGAACAAAATTATTGTTGGTCCTTCGAGCCGGATCGGAGAGTGAAGGAAGAGATCAAATCGACAAGCCGATTTCCGCCAGTCCGCTTCCATGGAACGACAAGGGCGATTACAGCATCAAGTAAACGCTGCTCTCGTCAACTTCAAAAAGCTCGGACGCAACAAATGGACGCCTGCGATCACTCGCTCCAGGATCCAGACACTCAAGGAAATCTGGCTGCAGTTCCTCGATGGGCACGCCGTCCTGAGAAGACGTTCCCGCCGGACCGTCGGAAGCAGATCGTGTACTTCACCGACGATGTATTCGACGCTACCGAAGAGAAGTACAATCTCACGCTGGATTACATGGCTGAGGTACTGGAGGAGTTGGAACCCCCTGTAAGCCCGAACCAATCAATTAACACGTCGTATGCTCGGTACGCTCCGTCTGCGTTTTCTCAACCGCATCTGCCGCCGATTCAGCTCGCGCCGTTTGACGGCACGCTCACTAAGTGGGAGGCATTCCGCGATCGGTTTTCTGCGATCATAATCGAAAATAAAGACTTGAATGATTTCTCGCGCATGCATTATCTGTCGTCATGTTTGCGGGGTCGCGCGTCGGAGTGCATAGCGAATCTCACGATCGCTGCCGAGAATTTCAAAATTGCTTGGGACGCGGTAAAGTCACGCTATGACAATAAACAACGGTTGCTTCCGTTCATATGTCAACCTTGTTCGTCTGCCGAGTCACGAGCGGAGGTTCATGCGTTGTTCGCTTCTAACGACCGAACTCGCTCCGCTCGCGTTCTATTGGTCACCGTGTGGGTGACGGTCCGGGCGTCATGCGGTCGATCAGTGACCATTCGTGCCTTGCTCGATCAAGGGTCCGAAATGACCTTTACATCCGAGAAGCTTGCTCAAGCGTTACGCGCGAAAAGAATCCGCATGCCGGTCGCCGTCTCCACTGTAGGATGCGTCAACGCGGGAACTTTCCGACACGCGATCGAGATCACCGTATCGCTCCGCGGGTCGGAAACTCCGGCGTTGCTGACCGCAGCGCTAATATTGCGATCGCTCACGACGTATGCTCTGCATTGCGCCGCAGATGCGTCGTGCTTGACGCATCTCGCGGATCTACACTGGGCCGATCCGGATCCGCTCAGCACGGATCCGATCGATCTAATCATCGGGGCGGATATTTTATGGCGATATTTTGCGCGAGGACCTTCGCCGAGGAGGCGACGGTCAGCTCATGGCGCAAAACTCGGTGTTCGGTTGGTTCATATCGGGTCCGATCACCCAAGCTTCGACATCCGGGGCGGCGGCGAGTTCGCACTCTAATCAAACGTCGAGCGTAATGATTTCTGCGCATCATTGTCAGGCCGAGACCTCACTCGACGATGAGTTGGAACGATTTTGGGAGGTCGAGGAGGTTCCGCGAACTGTGGTACCGACGCCTGATGACGATCATTGCGAGAGACATTTCGTCTCGACGCATTCGCGGACATCCGAGGGTCGATACGTCGTCCGTTTGCCGTTTCGCAGCGGACCGCCGATCGGTGTCGGATCCTCGCGCTCGCGCGCCGTACGGTGCCTTGCAGCACTTACGCGTAGTTTACTAACAAGGCCAGCACAAAGACGAGCATATGACGAGTTTTTGCGCGAATACGAGCTTCTCGGATATATGCGACGCGCTCCGGTTATTTCGGACGCGTCTTCGCAAGTCGTCTACATTCCGCATCACCCGGTTTTTCGTGCTCATAGCACTACGACGAAATTGCGTGTTGTGTTCAACGCCTCGTGTCCAACGACTAACGGCACGAGTTTGAACGACCATTTGATCGCCGGGCCGAAGCTGCAGACCGACTTATCGTCCGTATTACTACGATGGCGTAATTTCAAATACGTGTGTTCGGCCGACGTCGAAAAAATGTATCGACAAATTCTAATTGATTCACGCAATCTCAATTATCAGCGGATCTTGTGGCGACCGGCGCCTGATGATGAGCCGCGTGAATATCACCTAATGACAATCACTTACGGCATATCCTGTGCTCCGTTCCTCGCGTTGCGAGTCCTTCAGCAATTGAAGATCGATGACGGGAACGATTTTCCTCTCGCCACTCCAATCTTACAAAACAACGTTTACGTCGACGATGTATTATTCGGGAGCGACGACATCGAAAAGACGATCGAGATCCGGAATCAGCTCATCGCGTTGCTTCGACGAGGCGGCTTCGAGCTTCGAAAGTGGTCCGGGAATTCAGCAACGCTTCTCGCGGATCTCGATGAAGTGAATCATGGGCTTGCGTGCACAAGAACACTCGCGGCCGATGAGCGCGTAAAGATTCTCGGCATCGATTGGACACCAGCGGGCGACGACTTTCAGGTCAGTGTCTCGTTGCCGGCTTGCGTCCCGGAGAGCAAGCGCGCTATCCTATCGACGATAGCCAAACTTTACGATCCACTCCGATGGGTCACTCCGGTCACTATTAGCGCCAAGATATTAATGCAGCACTTGTGGCGACGGAAGCTCGAGTGGGATGACTCGATTCCCGAGATGCTGGGATCGCGCTGGCGGACGATATTTTCGAATCTATCCTTCTTGGATGGGCTACGCATTCCGCGATGGACTGGTTTCGGGCGCGATGTTCGACGCACGGAGCTGCATGGGTTCGCGGACGCGTCTAATGCCGCGTACTCTGCCGTTGTTTACTCGCGACTAACAACACATTCTGATCAAGTGATCATCACATTGCTCGCCGGCAAATCACGCGTCGCTTCATTGCAGCCAATCAGCATCCTGCGTCTCGAACTTTCAGCCGCCGTGCTACTGTCACGTCTCGTCGATTTCGTGCGGTCATCGGGAGACTACGACAATGCAACGTGTTGCCGTTGGTCTGACTCGACCGTCGTGTTGTCGTGGCTGGCGGCTCACCCGTCGCGATGGAAAACATTTGTCGCGAATCGGGTGGCGGAAGTGCACGCGCGTCTTCTGCGCGTTCAGTGGCGGCATGTTCCGACGGCCGACAATCCTGCTGATTGCGCTTCGCGCGGGTTACTCGGCCGGGAACTTCTCGAGCACAATCTCTGGTGGCGAGGCCCGTCGTGGTTGCAGTTGCCACCGGACGCTTGGCCGTCATTCGAGGATGCCTCGGCTGCGGAGGCGTTGAGCGAGGAAAGGGTCGTGACGCTTCACGTCTCTGAACCAGCATAGCTCAGCTCGCCGCTCCTCGAGCGCTATTCCTCATGGCCGAAATTAGTTCGCGTTACCGCGTACATCATGCGCTTTATCGCGCTATGTCGTCGCCGTCTTACGGGAGAAGCGTCCGGTGATCCGGTCGGCCCGGGCGTTACGGCGGACGAATGTTCTAGAGCGCGTACGCTATTATTAAAACAGATTCAAGCAGTGTTGTTCTCCAAGGAACTGCACAAACTCGCGAATCGATTAGAATTACCGTCGAAGAGCTCAATTCTTGCCCTTCGACCGTTTCTCGATGAGGACGGTCTGCTTCGCGTCGGCGGCCGGATTTCGCGCGCTCCAATGCCTTGGACACGGCGTCATCCGATTCTGCTCGCGTCGCATCGCATCACGAAGCAGATCGTCGATCACGCTCACGTACAGGGGCTGCATGCTGGCGTGCAGCTTACCCTTAGTATACTTCGACGCGACTTTTGGGTAATTCGAGGTCGGGGCGTAGTGCGGGAGCAAATCCATCGATGCGTGGTGTGCGCTCGCGAGCGCGCCGTCGTTCCATCGCAGCTTATGGCGGACCTCCCGCGTGTCCGAGTCTCGACTCCGGCTCGCTGTTTCGCATATTGCGGCGTCGACTACGCCAGACCCATCCTCGTGCGTGCCTCCGCGGGACGAGGTATAGCGACGCAGAAGGTTTACATTGCCTTATTCATCTGTTTGGCCTCTCGCGCTGTGCATCTGGAGCTCGTAAGCGATTGCTCGACTCGGGCATTTTTAAACGCGTTTTCTCGGTTCGCCGCTCGTCGGGGAATACCCAATACCGTGAACTCTGATAACGGTACAATTTTCGTCGGAGCCGATAGTGAGCTGACCGTGGCCTACCGGGCCGCGCTCCGGGACCCGACCTTCCAGTGTTCCACCGCACTCGACGGTATCAACTGGAGGTTAATCCCTCCAGCCGCGCCACATTTCGGTGGGATGTGGGAAGCCGGCATCAAATGCGTGAAACACCACGTGCGTCACGTACTGCGAAACAATTCTCTCACGTTTGAGGAGTACACGACGCTGCTCTGTCGGATCGAAGCCTGTCTCAATTCGCGATCGATCGAGCCAATGTTCGACTCGTTCGACGATTACGAGCCGCTCACGCCCGGTCATTTGCTCGTCGGATCCGATATCGGTCTGCCTTCGCCGTCGACTCTCCACATCTCGGAAAATCGCCTGACGCGTTGGCAACTCGTGCGGCATCTAACCGAGCGGTTTTGGCGGGTGTGGTATCACGATTACGTGAACACGCTGCAACAACGAGGAAAGTGGAGGAAGGTGCAGCCGTCTGTCAATGTCGGACAACTGATCTTGATCCGCAATTCAACCTTGCCGCCGTGCAAGTGGGAATTGAGGCGAGTGACTCAGTGTCACCCCGATCCCGACAGGCTCACCCGTGTGGTTACCGTCCGCACCGCGAATTCCACCCTTCAACGGCCGATCGTCAAAATATGCCTGCTGCCAATCAATTGCGAGATCGAAGAGTGACCACGGATTTCGAAACAAATGTTTCAAGGTGGGCGGGATGTTTGCGATCCGTCCAAAGCGCCGCTCTTTGTGTCAACGAAATCGAGGATTCTCGATGCCACGAGATATCCTGCGTGACTCGCGCGTGAGCACGCCGTGCGTGTTTTGCTACCGGACACCGCGTAGTTATTGTCACGTTTTGTCAGCATGTGACTGCCAAATATGGCAACGTTTTCGACAATAGCGGTTAACATCTCATCTCCGAGCGACACAAAAACTAAAAATAAATATAAGATCGAAGCGACGAACGTTTTCGGTTCCTCGCTTCGATCAGATCTTCTCTTAGCACTACACCGCTCGCAAGTGCTAGGTCAGTTTGTTCCGCTCCGTTTTTTTTCGAATCAGCTGCTCGACCGCTCTGGTCGAACCTCATCGTCCGAAATACGGTTGTGGCCTCAACGCATTGCGCTTCGCAAGGACGTGCTACGTACGAGCTTATTATCAGGACATTGTCAAAGTTTATTTCGTATTCTTTTTATAATAAAATTGGGATCGCGTATTAGAGTGGCGCTCGCGCTCTAACTTGTGAGCATCGGCCTCTCAGCGCCTCGACGAACATCGACGCTCAAAAAGAAGGAAAAGGAGGAACGATACCACGAAAAGAAAAGAAAGTAGTGTCTTCCTTTCAATCTGAACTCCGTGCTTATTGCTGAGCGTTCCCGGCCTCTTGTTCACTTTGCCAAAAGAGCAAACATTGACAGACAAAGATGTATGTGAACCTTCGACATCAAAAGTAGAACAAAAACAGAATCGATTATATAAACGAAAAACATTTGCAAATCTCAGGCGAACAAAGGAAGAGACGTACTCTACCACTGATGGCCGAAAACGCTATTGATGAACTTGCTCTTGCTTTAATAATGAAACTTAAGGGGATCCTGGAGCGGCGACCGAACTCCAACGCGATTGCGCCCTCATCTGAGCGGAACTAATAATGTCGGTAATACCGACACTTACAGTTTCGTTTTCGACATTTATCGATATGTACGTATAGACACGTTCCCATGTATATTGCGAAAATATACATTGGGTACGTTCACAACATTCAACAGTTGCGCAACTGTAGAGTAATTCGTCAATGTTATTGGTCTGAATTTAAGGACCAATAGTCACTAATCGCTCACTGAACGGTTTTCTCCGCTGAACGCACCCATTATGAAAACATATAGTATACAAAATATATATTGTAGTTCTTCAATATTCGCAATGCATATCGAAATATAGTCTATAAGTATATATAGTCTATAGTCTATAAATATATAAAGCAATCATTTAGAACACGCATGAAAATAGCAGTGAGAAATAGAAAGCCTTTTGCATTGTATTATATGTGTTGAGACATAAGATATCTTGAAGTTTTAGTGTTTTATCGTCCTGTACAAATATATAAACGATATTACAGCACATAAGTATCTATTTTTGTCACACACATATTTAAAATACAATTTCATAATATGGCTCACACTGTTTTCGCTGTTTCTTTCGGTGCATTGTCAGAGAAATTTGCATGTATTTAACATGCAAATAATATATTTACAAAACTTGTTTTATGTAAATTATACGTATAATTATGCGTATTCGTTTTTCGGTACGATTCATTTTTCGAATCGATATAAGTAAAAGTCTACTATAATAAAAAGTATGGCATGCAAACTCTTAACTATATTACACAATTATTTATATATTTGTATAATTTAATGATACATATAAATTTACAAATATTTATAAAATATACCACGACAGTATTATATAAAAGAGAATATGGAATGGGCTCCTTCATCGCCCATTCCCGTGAGAACGCAACCAATATATTTTTTGTCGTCTTCTCGATTTTTGCATATATTGCATGAAGACATTTTTTCTCTCGAAGATATTTCTTCGAGGTTTTTTTTTAAGAATAATTTTTTATCGCCTTGGAAAAGGCAGCAGTCTATTGCCTTCTATAATTTTGAAAAAGTGTTGTCTCATGCATAATACATCCATGGAGTATTTTTCATCGCAAGAATTTCCGCCTAATGTTATAGTTGTAGCGAAAGCTGCAGCATAAATTTCACAAGACGTGGAATCCGGTTGTGTATCAACATTTTTAAAAATGATGTTACTTTCGCTTATTTGCGGATAACGGCGATGAATATAATTTTTTTCTTTAGCTACCAACTTATCGTACGTACAGTTAGGTAAACTGTCGTACACGCGAAGTTTGGTGCCATCGAAGATAATGCATCGCCAATGATCACTGCAATTACCTCCAATGATCTGTAAGCTTTTATTGCTCTGACTAGCTACGATCATATGAGGTAATTCTAAATACAGCACACTTTGTGTTTCAAATGCAGAAGTTTCTCTTACAACGCGTAAAAATCGATCCAACGATTCGTCGTTTAACTTGCTGCATTTAGGCAAGACATTTTCTTTTACGAAAGAAATAGGAGCAATTATGTCATCCAGAATTTTTTTATGTCTCGCCATATAATTTGTTGTTAGATCTCGTTTGTCATTGGAGTAACTAACAATGACATAATCGTTATCTTGCTCCAAATCTAGAGAAGCAGTAGTTTGCAAAACATTTGATTTTAATCGTTTGCTCTCTTGGATGCTTTCGCTTTCTATATCTCGTCGGTTAGTTTTTCGACTAATAAATTTTTTGCATGCTTGTTCTTTAGCTTCCATTATATGTCTTGGATCTCTGATTGGCATAAGCTATTATGGCGGCTGTCCAAGATTTCCGGAAGCATGCATTCATTATAGAAGCGTGTCAAATAAGGCAGCATCTTATTTTTCCAAAAAGCAACATCTTTGTTAATACATAACGTTTTAAAACTTTTTGGCGTCCATATAACAAAAATGCAATAATTTCGCTGCGTTATATTCAATTGCCCTTGAACCTGATAAAAATATTGGTGATTTCGATTCATTTCGTCAGAATTTTTTCTATCAAAAATGCCTCTCAATTGAGGCAATGTCTTTATAGCTTCGTCTGCTGTTAAATGCTCAGCTGACAAAGGACATTTAATTTCGACCAGACCATCATTTTCAATTAGTCCGTCAGGAGAAGCACCTAAGCATGGATTTTCATCATTAATGAATAATCCGCAAATTTTTATTTCTTTATTGAGCTTTGCATTCAATTCTTTCCTCGCGTTCTCTTCGTTTTCACGACCATATTTCATGGCTACGGTGTCGATAAACGGAGGAAAAAAATGCTTTTTACAGTGCCTGCGCAAGACGTTGTTGGTCTCATGTGACACACGGTTCCAAAATTGGATGCCGTCAACATTTCGCGTCTCAATGAATGCCATAATTCGGATTCATTTTGACCTCTCGTATCGCATTCAATTTTCTCTCTGCCTCTACAATTTTCGAACAACTTATCCACATGATTTTTCCGAAGTTGCTCGTATACTTCAAATGGAAGATCTGATTTTTGCGATTGCGGACCGTAATAACGATCTGTTCCCGACATTCGTTTTATTTTTTTGATCGTCCATGTACTAATCGAGATTCTCTGTTTTTCGCAACTTTTATCTCTTGTCCCTTTTCCAATTTCTCGACAACGGGAGGGACACTTTTGCACATGTCTTTATGCACTTGCGTTAGAACTTGTTGCGTATTATACTGCACAACTGCCCCTGCAATTCTAGCATTGTAAGAGCCTCGTTTACCAAAATGAATGCGCTTTCCACCGATGTCTTTGCAAATTATCGAATTGAACGATTCTGCACGATTATTTGTTACATTGCATAACAAGCTATTGGAATGAGCGCTTATAAATCTGACAGCATCTTCTATTTTCCCGTACAGACCGTGCAACTTTAGAAATGGTACATAATTTTTCTCCATTCTCCATCATCTACGACCGCGACGCATGTACGATCGCGTTCTTTACATCGTTTGTGCTCACCAAAAATATGGCTAGGAATATTTAAAATATCTTTTTATAATTCCATAACCTTGTAATTATGAGGTCGCTCTTCTTTATTTTGTATAGCGACTGCTTTTCTCAATTCACTTCGTATATTTACAATGTTGTTTTCTACAACATTTCGTATTTGCACAAAGCTACGTTTTCTTTGCATCTTCGGCTGAGTCATTTGTGATACGATTCTCAGCTTCCTACACAGATTATGAAGCAGGTGATTGGTGCATTCCACTTTCTGTACCATCACCTTTTGCTCGTTATATGGATTATTATTTATAATAGACTGATACACATAACTATCACCATCAGCGACAACAGTTTTATAAATCAATCCATACATTTCCAAACTACTTTTAAAACCTTCCGCAATAGCATCACTCTCCATGCTAGTGGAGCTTGCATTGCGGTCAAAATTTTTATAGCATTTATGAGCTCTCGGTTTGATAACTTTTCGCTCTGCTATATCACACACTGTGCAAAATTTGTTGCGAATACCGACGAAGATAATTTTTCCTGTACGGTAACCTATTATAGCACCAACACCCGAAGTTGAATCGTATTTATTGCCGTACGATCTCTTCATCCAACTACCATCCGCTACAACGGTTATATATGGAATGTTGATAATTTCATTTCTTTCGAGAGCAAGTTGCTTCTCAACTTCTGCAGCCGTTTTCATATTTTCGAAGGCTGTTCTTTCAAAATCATCGGTTAAAGTTTCACGATGTTTCATATATATCTTTTCAGACATACAATAAATATTCATAGCTGCACATAATTCTTCTAGCTGCGCAATTCCGGTTGTAATTGTTCCAGCTACAGCAGCTGTATTAATATTTAACATTTTTGATTTTGTAGGTTCTGACCAGATATTGGCTTCATAATTGCACATTTCACATTAAAAAAAAAATTGCGTCAGTAACCCACTGCGACGAGAATTTACGAGTTTCCAATTTTTAAATTAGCACTCTATTCCTCGCGCATGATTATCAAAGATCCTGTGGATTTCATTCCACATAAAAGAAATGTCGACAATGCAACG